CGCGCCGAGGACGTCAAAAGACTTTCAGTGTTTGACCATCGATGTCTTCGGAGCATTGCCCGAATCTGGTGGGAACACCGGATCAGAAATTCTGAAGTACGTTGAATGGTATTCGGGAGAAATAACTCACCCTCGATAGATGAACTGATCACACTGCATAGGTTTCGCTGGCTTGGCCACGTGCTGCGTATGCCAGTCGACCAACTTCATCGAAGGGCTCTTTTTGCCCAACCATGTGAAGGTTGGAAGAGAGCCAGAGGCGGTCAAACAATGACTTGGCAGCGAAGTATGAAAGCTATTATCAGCAAACTCGGCTGCGCTGGTAATTGCCGTCTTCCTGGATGGGGACCCCGAGACGGGCCACATCAATGGCTAGAGACATTGTCAGACATGGCCCAGTCGCGCCCTCAATGGCGCTCGTGCATCCAAGCTATTGCCTTCAATGCTTAGCTCCTTTTCCAACCCCCCCCCACTTGACAGCCCACTGACAGTGCTGGATTTATGCACCAACTTACCAGCTCGCTCGTGCAATGCGCAGCTACCTCCCCCCTCCCCCAAATGATCGGTGAACGAAACTGCGGCAGCTGCAACCACTGTACGACGAGTACGCGGTTCTTGCAACTGACAATGATGATGATGATGACCAACTACTCTGTATGGACCGCACTGATCGTTTTGGTGAAGAAGGCTAACGGGACCATCCGGTTGTGTACAGACTTCTCCGCCGATCTCAATGTTGCACTGGATACCCATCAGTCCCCTCTGCCTCTTCCAAATAATTTGTTCGCGAAACTGAATGGGGGTAAATGTTTCGCGAAGATTGACTGGGCCGATGCTTACCTCACTGTTGAAAGTGAGGAAGAATCACGAGAACTTCTGACCATCAATACGCACCGCGGTCTGCTCCAGTATAACCGACTGCCGTTCGGTGTCCAAACAGAAATAGCTATTTTATAATAGATCATGGGTACGATGCTGAAGGATGCCCCCACCGTTGCTGCCTATTTGTACGAACTCACTGTCATGAGTTTCAACCCCCACGAATTATGGCAACGGCTTAATTACGTGCTTGGTCGTATTCAAGAATATGGTTTCAGACAGAGTGTGTACAGACTTCTCCGCCGATCTCAATGTTGCACTGGATACCCATCAGTCCCCTCTGCCTCTTCCAAATAATTTGTTCGCGAAACTGAATGGGGGTAAATGTTTCGCGAAGATTGACTGGGCCGATGCTTACCTCACTGTTGAAAGTGAGGAAGAATCACGAGAACTTCTGACCATCAATACGCACCGCGGTCTGCTCCAGTATAACCGACTGCCGTTCGGTGTCCAAACAGAAATAGCTATTTTATAATAGATCATGGGTACGATGCTGAAGGATGCCCCCACCGTTGCTGCCTATTTGTACGAACTCACTGTCATGAGTTTCAACCCCCACGAATTATGGCAACGGCTTAATTACGTGCTTGGTCGTATTCAAGAATATGGTTTCAGAGTGCGTCGGGAAAAATGCACCTCCTTCATGCGGTCTATGACATCCAGAAAAACGTTTTCAAATACAGACAAATCCAGCTTGTTTCCCGGTTATTCCTGTTGCTGAAGCAGCCATAGGTGCGTCGCCTGTCGTGGATGCCGTAGTATGGACAGCGCAACAGTTGTACGACATTGGAACGGGTTTTCATGAGGATATGACGACAGAAGTATCCCCGGTGCCACTCGGCTTTTGGCCGCAAAAGAACCTTGGTGTTTGCACACCCGAGTTCCACCTGCAGGGCGGCAGAGGGTACTCGTAAGACGGTTGATCAGTATTATCATGGTCCTTGGATTCCACAAGCAACATCCGTCCACTCGACCGTGGCTGATTCATTGTGCCATTACTTTGAAATGGAAGTCAGCCAAATCCCTCAACGAACAACCAACACCCAATCAAGCAGACCATTAGCCAAAACCCGCTTTCGCCCCATCAGTTTAGTCGAAACATTTTCATTAGAAGGCTATATGTAGGAGTACTTCACAGTGCCTACAGGCGACCTTCCTCGTTCCTAATGTCACAGACAGACGACCAGAACGTGGCAATATATCGGTGACTTGTCCGTCTGTTATCCAACATGAACACAACTGTATGGTTCAGCAAATGAGTGTACGAGGTATTTCATCTTTGTCAACAGTGTTCAGCTAATTTCCTTCGAAAAAGGTGATCAGTGTTTGTTCAAAGGGATTGCACGAAACATCCAACTTGAGTCGCTACCTCACACCAAATTACTGCTCGACTGATACGTAATTTGCACAAGGCATATCAGATTTTTCATTACCTCTGTATCTTTCACGAAAAGGAAGTGACAAACCCGGTCACAGAGATTAATGGTCTACCCTACCCGAAACATCGACGTAAGCGGGAACCAATCGGTTGTGACGAGAAAAGGGTACGTACATTTTCTACACTACTTATGAGTAGGCAAACGTTTCGCCGGCATGTGTACTTTGACATCATCATCATCATCAATGACAGCAACATCAGTGTTGGCACTGATGCTTCACTGCCGTACAGTGATGGTCTCCTCCGAGGGTCCACTGCTACCCTCTGGCCTCTGCATCCCAACGAGCTGGCGCTTCACTGCGTACAGTGATGGTCTCCTCCGAGGGTCCACTGCTACCCTCTGGCCTCTGCATCCCAACGAGGTGGCAGCTTTCGGTCCGGACAAGAGGTCCCGTGGATTATGCCTCAACTACAGTTGATGGCCTTGAAGCTCTCTTGACTGTAGTTTAATATATAATAACCCGGATCACAATTACAGTGACATGTATGTTTGCTGTGCGGGGACATTGGAACATTGGTGGAATGGATACAAATTTTAATTTTCTCATTAGAAGCTTGCTTCATAACGATCATCTTCTTTATATCAAAGGGTTTGTGGTGAACCTTAGGCCCCAGAAATGTGGTGATTAGTCGCCGGCACATCTGCACATGTTTTGCCGCATCCAGTTTGAGAGGTCGCACAGTCGAGGTGAAAAAAGGGCAGATTTGAATGTAGCGTGTCCAAACACAACAATTATCAGCGAGTGCATCATAACGATCATAGAACTTAAGAGTGTTTTTTTTTCAAATGTTCTAAAGTACTACGTAAACAACACTGTCGGAAGATGTGTAACTACCCAGTCACTCACATACTTGACTGCTCAGCTCACAGTCGCTCACTGGATCACGAGACTTGTCTTTTTTCACACTCACAAACCACGTCACATTAAGGTGACTCATCGGACATCGATTGTCTGTACCGCCTAGTGAGCGTAGCGACTACTCATGTGCTGACGCGCCCACGAAAACGCAAACGGACCTACATATAGGGAAACCGAACACAGTCAGCACACAGACTCCAGTGCGCACAGGGAGAAGGAAGTCAACCACTCTCCACAAGTCCACGGACAATTATGGAACACGTGTAGCAGCCATACTGCGGAGAAAACACGTTCCAGCCGTCCGGACTTTCACCGAGGAACTCTCACCGACGATAAGATCCTCTTTTGATTTACTCCCCTCTTGTATTGTATTTGTTTTTATACGTGTTGCAGCCCACTACTGTCAACCATACTAAAAACTTTTATTGATGCACATACCTTCTGATTTGTGTTATGACCATCAACAGCAGTGCACTAATAATTGGTGAGCTCGACGTGAAGTTTGGCCGTTTCTATTACCTTTATCCGTATTTCATTCACGCTGTGGTACGCGCATTTGTTTCGCCATGCCGATTTCTCCAGCACGAGAGAAACTTCCAACTTCTATCGCATCAACAGGCAACGTCAACAGGGCGCGTCAGCACATGAGTAGTCGCTACGCTCACTAGACGGTACAGACAATCGATGTCCGATGAGTCACCTTAATGTGACGTGGTTTGTGAGTGTGAAAAAAGACAAGTCTCGTGATCCAGTGAGCGACTGTGAGCTGAGCAGTCAAGTATGTGGGTGACTGGGTAGCTACGGATGTAACTCAAAAACAGAATAATCATTTGAGAATGGACGAAGCTTGGAACTCAGCGGTTGTGTATTTTGCAGATAGAGAGGACAAGGAACAGATCCGGCCATTTCGAATACGGGGTCTCGACAAGTGAGCGATTTCACATTCTAGTTGCATGTGACATATTCCTTTCGTAGGGTGCTCTTTTAAGCTCGCTTGTTTAGACGACCAGATTTCCCATGAGGTTGTCGCAGGGATTTTTGGGACTCTGCGGTTCATCCCACACGATTTTCCGGCACTTTAGATCGAAACGTCCAAAGCCTTGATGTCTTAAATTCGTAATATGACCATAATAGTAAGGTCTGTAGGATGTAACTCATGAACTGAACTGAGTAACGGTCAGACTCATTTTTGCCATGTTTTCAATCGAAGTCACGAGTCAGGGGTACCCAAAATCGGGTTAGTGTACGGTTCGAAGCTGCTTTATATTCAAATTGCCTTGTTTTCGGAGATCTCGGGGACATCTCTGGACGCCTGAAAAACCCCTCCTAGCCGATGATTTTCTCGTGGGACATTTGGACACAAGAAGTTTCCACAGTTTTATTATAGTAGGTCAGAGTGTTCCACCGTTGATGTTGCCGTCTGTAACGACTGACATATTGCTAATCATGGGCCCGATACATTGGAAGACTGCAAGTCGCAAGTGCTGCAAAACGTACCAGAAAACCTACCCAGATATGACCCGATGTCTCTTAAATGTCACGCCGTAATTCACACATTATCCCCGGAACGGATAGCCGAAACACTTGGTGAATTCGAACAAGCCAAAGACTTGAATATATAGAATTGGCCCAGTCCGACAAATCTAGCAACGGGCCACATAACACGAACAAAGGCTAAATTATTCAGAAGCCACCTCAAGTTTCACATGAGTTGTGTAAGCCTCAACCGTTATTATCGCAGTTAAATTTTGGGAAAGATATCCCTTACAGTTAGGATCCTGGGTACCATGGTTGCCCACAACTGTGCTATTTACAGTTATCACAGTGACCAGTCTTGTGTTGAAGTCTTCGAACAAATGCACATGACAAGATACGACCGATTCCTAGACTCACCCGAAACGTGACAAATTTCCACATCCGCTCCCGCGCGAACAAGGATATCGAGCCACATAATCTGCTGTGCTGATAGCTGATCACCAGGTCCTTTAACTTCAACTAGCTGGATGGTAAGTAAATAGGTTGAAAAAGTGAGTCTGGAGAGCCACGAGAAAATAAACTGTAAACGGACATCGAAAGCTAACCCACAATTTCTACACGAAGGGTTTCTTTATGCATCCAATTGTCCAGTAGGTAATTTAATCACCTTAGAAGTTGAACTTTGCTTAAAGCGCTCATTAACACTTTAACTTCTGCAAATTTTGTCCATTGGTAACCGATTATGTTGGCTGAAGAGACTTGTAGACAAACGAGTCACACTACATATTCCATTGGGAATCGGAGTTCACTGCGCCTGACAGGGCCATTTACACATCTATAGCGAAAAACGACGCATGTAATCAACTGTTTACCGTATGTATATATCCTCTTGCAAGTAAAAGTTCGTGTCCTATGTACCTAAATTGAGAATTACCCCAGTTCGCATAACGGTAAGCGACTAATGAACTATGTAACTAGACCACCTTCTAAGGAAGTATTCGGATGGATCACATCATACCGGGTATACGCTACATTTGCGCGGACTTTTCGGTTTATGTGGTGCCGAATAAGGTCCTCCCCATTCTGATGTCTCGAATAATAATAATGATAATAATCGTTCAGCTGCAAAACCCTTTCGGTGCCTAGCTGCCATGCCACACGGAGACATGAGGGCTGGGATACTGCCAGGTCGCCCAAGCCTAGACAGGGGAAGTCGAGAGGCAGAGGTCGGATTCGGGCGTTCCGGTCAGTAAATTTGCGCTCTAACCACTTGGTTCATCTTGCCTCGGATGAGTCGACAAAGCATCTAGCTTCGTGGCAACCTAATGAACCGTGAATGAGGCGTTCATTTTATCGGGAACTTGTTGTCTGTTTATATTTCACATTGTACTCTCCGTTTGATCCCATTTAAACTGTAAGTATGACAAAATGGATGGTAAACATGAAGTGCTACAGAGAACTTTCATTCCGAATTTGCTTTCGGAATCTCGCTAATTGAAATATGTACTACAAGACTTTTCCTGTTGTCCTAAAATCAAGGTGCTTGCCCTTGTAATTTACTGCTTCAACTCATTCTGGATTGTTTGACTGGCTGCCGTCATACTTTTTATCACGTAAAGAAAACTACGTAAAGTCAAATGGTAAAAATGCATCCCCTAGAAAGCTAATGTTAGCATAATGATCAACTGCCGCACACCTGAAGGCGAACGAAATCCAATAATAGGGTGCAGAGATTGACTTTCAGTTTGATGCCGACAAAATGCAGAGTTGGTTGGTCGAAAGCGGATGAAACAAGCCTGAATCATCTACCATCTTAGGAATACAATCAATCAATCAGTTCATCAGCTATAAACCGTGTACCATACGCACATTGGTTCCAGCTGCTACAATTTCGATCACCAGAAAACGGGAAAGTGGAACATACAACCAAGCCTTGGAGGCGAAGACATGTTCCTTTGTTCAGAAATTTAGTAGCTATGCCTTGAACGCAGTAGCTTTGATTCATGAGCGCCACTGAGTGCGCGATTGGGTCATTTCCTCCAACGTCATTAACCATTGCTAATTTGAGTCCCGAGAATAGCCAGTGCATATGTCCCCATAGGTAGTGTCCGCTTGGTCACTGAGAGAGAGCATCATACCGTACCATCATCATTGTCAGCTGTAAGAACCGCATACCTGCCGTACAGTGGTTGTAGCTACCACAACTTCGTCCAACGATGAGTTGGGAAGGTGGGGTAGGTAGCTGCGCATTGTAAGCGGGAGCTAATAAACTGGTGCGTAAATACAGCACTGTTAGTGGGCTGTTAAGTGGGGAATAAAGAAGAGAACTATGCATTGAAGGCAGTAGCTTGGATGTACGAGCGCCATTGAGGGTGCGACTAGGCCGTCCGATAATGTTGGCAACCATCGATGTGGCCCGTCTCAGGGTCCCCATCCATCATGAGAGAAGAGTAAAATTGTAAGGCACCATAAGTTTTTTCGAGGGGGAAAGGAGCAGAATAATGCACTGTACGTCTAAGAGCACAATTAAAGGGTTCGAGAAGTACCCAAACTACGAAGGTAAGTTCAAGAAACGGCATGTAAAAAGCCCTCTGACCTTGTCATCTTTCGACGACATTGTAGTCCTATCATTTGTAATCACTTAGAGATCGGCATTAGTTGAGTACTGTCCAGTCACTTTTTCGACTGAACTAAAAGGTCTTAATTTTACCTTCTAGGGACGATCACGTCTTATTTCTTACGACGTGATCGTCTAAGGACTTGAGCCATTTTGCCAGATTGTCAGTCACAAAACCGAGTTTTCGCCAGATGATTAAGTCATAATACTTCGTCAGTATTCGTCGCGTTGACTGGAAGAACTACAAACCAATGATGAGCCACGCTCAACAGTACCTCTCATGACTTTCCGCATTATGCATAAGCCATGGGAACACTATTCAGCAGCGAAGCCTCAGTTCTCAGGCGTGTCAGGCTATGGCTGTAGTGTAACACCCAATCGGTGCCTGGCTGCCATGCAACCCGAAGGAAGCACGAGGGCTGAAATACTGCCAGGTTGCCCAAGCCTAAACAGGGGAAATCAAGAGAGATAGAGGTCGGGTTCGAACTACGGACATTCCGATCAGTAAATTCGCGCTCCAACCATTTGAGCCAGGAAATAACGAGTACAGTTAGGAATTGGCTGTTGAACATCCTGGCTCTTCGTAGCTGAAAAAAATCAACAACTATGTCGGATACTGTTTACATTTGCTGACACCTGAAAAAGTGGTCCTTACTGTGGAGTAGTAAAGCCCTTTGAGCGGGTTTAGTTTTGATTATCGACCCCATGGTGAAGTAAGGGCGAAGTTAAGGCTGGAAAGAAGTAAGTCTGAGGACTTTTCTATGTGACAACATGTTGCATGCAGTAGTGAGTCTATATCCGTACGCTCTACCGCAACTCCCACTTACACTCCTCACAGGGCCATTTAGCAATCCTCATCCGTTGGTGACTTTTTGTACATGGTTATTCCGCTTAACGCCATAACGCTCCAGCTGCTCACGGACATGACTCAGTACAGACTCGGTACAACTCACCTTGGCGCGCCGCTCATGAGGGGTCCACACAACAAGGTCTGGTAGGCCAGATTTCCAAGTGCGGAAATCCATGGCAAGTTGGCGGCATACCGTATGAACAACCTTTGGTCCGAGACACCAGAACAGTTCCTAAGAGAACAAACAGTGATGCGTCCACACGGTAAGAGCGCCATGGATTAACGGTGTTGAAGTGGTTCATTCAAACAAAATACTATAAGGCAAAAGCTAGCATGAAAAAAAAGCATGGTAAGCGAAAAAGTTCGGAGTCAGGTGGGTCAAAACACTGCTTGATAAGAAGTTGGAAGGAAACCGTTGGGGTTGAAACTTACATACAGTGATAATGGATACATGATCGGCTAATGGTTGACATGGTTGACAAGTAATAACAGTATGATGTTCTGACTCGAGTTTTTGACTTCTGATCCACTGGCAGTAAGCTTGACTGACCTATACATAGTTCTTATTTGGGCAACGTTTCGCTTTTGATACAAAAGCTTCATCAGGCCAAGTAAACAGGTCACCAATTAGGCCAGGTTTTAAGGCGGACGGAGAACCAATGAGTAAGAACTTTCGATTTTAGCACACTAGATCGGTTTTTATGTCAATTGACGGCTCTCGTCGGTTAATGTGGTTGTCAAAATCTTGCTTTGGTAGATCGGGGGGGGGTCAAATTAATTCCGATCGGGTTTGGTTGCCTAATCTTCCAATTCAGTGAGCTTCAATTGATGATTCACCGCAGTTGCCGCTGATAGGTGTCGTTAATCTTTGTGGGGTTGAGTGCTGCGACAATTTAGTTGGGGGGAGGTGAGGTCAAGTTGAATTCAGATGATGACTATTTCCTCCTCCTGATGACTGCTCACCAACACGTGTCAGCTCTACGGATCCAAAACCGTTCGCCACACGCTTACCAGTTCCACGCCTTCCACTCTGCTAACACAGGGATGCTTGACGGCTTCTACCGCCTCGGCCATCAGTCTCTGTGACGTGAACCGTACTAATCGCCTCGAAACCTCAACATTTTCTAAGTCTATTTTGTGTCCCGTGTTCAGTGCATGTTCTGCAATCGTCGAGTCTTTTAGTAACGCTTAATATTCATCTGCGTTTCTCGGCGGCCTGTTTATTTTTCTACTATGCTCTCCGACTATGATGTGTAGTTCCCTGACCGTCTGTCCTATATAGAGCTTGGTGCAGTCGTTGCACTTAATTTTGTAGACACAGGCCCTAGTTCTGCTTGCCGGGAGGCGATTCTTCGATTTCACCAGTGCAGAGCGCGGAGTGTCTCCCCTCTGGGGATCTATTCTTATGTTGGCCGTGTTTAGAATCCTTCGACTGATGTCCGGTGTCCCTGGTTTATGTGGAATAACAGCCATCCCAAGCCATTTTCGTTTCCGTTTCGCTACGGGTACCAGCACCCTTCGTGTGACTTTATGAACAAAGTAGTGGTGGTCATTGCTGAATCAGATGACACCCTTGTAAGTTTCGATGTCAATTCTTTATGTAAAAATGTGCCAAAAGGGGACACTTTAGAAATAGCTAAGCGACTGTTACTAGCAGACACCACCCTTTCAGAATGGACACAGCTTACGGTGGATGAAATAGTGGAAGCCATAGAAAACATCACATAAAGACAGTCGATGTGAAGACATTACGTGTATGATCGGAACAAGCTACGGTGGATGAAATAGTGGAAGCCATAGAAAACATCACATAAAGACAGTCGATGTGAAGACATTACGTGTATGATCTGGTTAGGTCATCCGTTTCTATGGATGTGATCCGTTTGGCTTAGAAATAGCGTAAGAGGAACTTTCCAACATGCAACACAGTTGCGATATGTGGAACAGAGCCAAACGATAACATAAAGCAACAATGAACAGTTTATTAGTGCCCCAATTCCCAATAGTAATTATCTGGTTGTAATGGTAAATTATTTAACCGGATCTAGCGAATTGGTGGGGGAAATTGTGCTGCTTCATATAATGAGGACCATTGAACTTTTTTAGCATACATCGAAACTTTTCTAAGTCGACAACAGGAAGCATAAGAGATGCTTCATATTCCTCACCTCTTCTCAAGAGGATATGTCCCTGCTGAGAAGAAAACTTCTATCTTATGCAAATGTTTGTTTGTAGGAAGGGAAACGAAAACGAAATCAAATGTGTGTAACAGAACACTTGGAACTAAAATGGAAATAATCTAATGGTGAATCACTTGACGACAGTGTCACTTATGCAACTTCACTCTGTGTCTATACTACTTAAACCCATCCTCCAAAAACCGTGACTTTCATTGATAGTCTGTCACCCGCTAATCTGCTTTTTGGAAGTCTCCATGGACAGTGAACACTGCTTATCAGCACAACACTAGAGAATTGCTGAGCTGTAATTGCAGTGCGTAACCAGGTTGGAATTCAAAGAAATAAGCATTGGAACCCCAGGGTATATGCAACATGTACATTGTCTCTTGTAGAGGACAACTGACGGTTGCTTTGCTTGCATACATACCTGGATGTTTCCTACTGAGAGTGACTCGCTGAAACAGCTTACAAAGTTGAGACATTGTGTTAGTCGGATACTACAACATGAAGATGCAGAAGGATGTGATCAGTCGGTGTCCATTTTAGAATTGATCCGTCAAAGCCGAGCTACGCCGATAGCTCACCGCCCATATTGGGTAATGACACATGGCATTTAAGCTGCGTCGCGTGTACTGACTGACAATTGCCATCAAGTAATGACTAATTCACCACACACAGATGAAAAATTGAGCGTCAAGCGCCCAAGGGAAACGAAGCAGACTGACAGCACAGAAATCAGAAGTGATGTTACAAAAAACGAAGCAGAATGACAGGATGTAGACCGATGAACGGATGATGTCGGTAAACGACAACTCACCGAAACTTCGTCCGGCTTTTTCAACAATTCCCAATTGGTCCAAAGACACCGCTCTCCGTAATGGTCCGTCCAACAGTTGTTGATTCGCTGGATAATGGGGTTCATGTCCGGAGACTGGCAACGACAAGAAACATGCAATTGTTTCAGCAACGTTTACTGTTATCAGTGCTTTGACAGAACATTAGTAAGGGGGTTACTTGAACCCAAGTTATACGCATACTCAATGAAACAGATTCCATAAGTCATAAAAAAGTCCACAACTCAGTTAATTGACACGTCTTCATCGCTGAAGTGGCCGTTGGGCCGCTTGCATCGGGAGGGGGATTAAGGTGGAAGTTGGAGATTAGGTGTACACAGGCTGTGGATATAGTCAATAATATTGGGGTTCTACGTTTATCTGGTGAATGCAAGCAAAGACGTTCAATTTATACAGTTGAGGAAGCCATTCATCCAAAAATACCTTTCATGGAGAAGTATCTGGCGTGGGGCACACCACCACATGGCTTCGGGTTACGCCCTAGGGGGGAGTCGGCCGGGTACTAACCAAACAAAGTTCCGGTAATGTCAACAACAGATCGTCGAACAAAAATGAAAGGTGGGATCACAGGTTTAGTAAAGCTTACATGGAGTTCCGTAGGGAGTGCAGCATTTTCAATTTCTTCCAGACGAGCATCGATAGCAACTTTCCGTGAACGGTAAAAATCGTCTGAGAACAAATCCAGTGGCGCCGCCTGTCTGTAGGAGTAAAACACGTCCGGTAATGAGTGATCGAAGAGAATGTCGTAGAACAGGAGTGTGAAGAGCAAGTGATGGATGCTCGATTCTGCGTGAATACCTGAGATGAGCGAGAAAAAGGTGAATCAATCGAAGACAATGAAGGATGCTATTCACGATGTCTTTCACAAAATAAGCAATCAGATTTACGGATCAGAGAGAGCAATCGAAGAACAGGGAACTGGAAATCTGGGGGCGTTTAGTTCACTATTGGGGATCAACTAGTGAGTGCGATGAATTCAGTCGCTTTTATTCGAAAAATATTGCCAATTCCAATGCACAGAGCACTGAAAGGATAACGAGCACTGATTATTTCATAAGTAAAATTGGAGTTAGGACGTTCACATAGTGAAGTGCATTAGTTAACACTATCAAGTGGCAGCAGATGCTCCGCTCACAATTCTTCAGACGTCCGAGTTCGAGTGGAGTTCCAGATAGTTTGTCACCTAGTGACTAGTCCAATCGTTCTTAGCGTCTCAGTGCCCTTAAGCCCGTTCGATTTGAAGATGTACAGCGTGCTAAGATAAAACTCTAAGTAGGAGGCAACACTGACAAGACATTCGTTACTTAATTCATTTCATTTTATCATAAGAAATTTCAATATCATTATGGGATTATACTAGCAACCACGCTCAACTTTCATATACTCACTCATTAAACACGACGCACGTGCACGTACAGTAGACTTCGTACGAAGGCATGGTAGTAAAAAGCTGTTCAGCCGACGAACAGGGGCACCGCATCCTGCGAACATTTTAGTCGAATCTTGAACAACTGTGGGCTGCACATTCTTGGGATACCAACACAAACTGTATGAACTCCGGGTTGATAACCTGTAAGTCAGTGGATTCACACTGCTAAGTGCGAGCGTTGAAATTCCCAATATTCCTTCCACAACTGGCGGTGGAGAAAGCTATTGTCCGGTCATAAAAGAGTTAGTGGCCATCAAGTATCACTCCATAGACTTTTCAACCAAATCACTACTGTACACTATTGGGTTTATCTTGGGTGATACGTATTGCCGCAACAGGAGTAGATCAGGTGTAACTACAGCAAAACCATTATTACGAAATGGGACACTAATGTTACTGTCACTGAAGAAAAGACATATGCTGCACACAGGAAAGAATTTATGAAGCTCGTCGATAGACGGGGCCATGTCAAGATGACTATTGGAGAACAAAGTATGCTCATGCAGATAAACGGCTAATACAACAGGCTGATCCGATGCACGCATAAAATTAACGGACAAGAAGCGGGTAGTGCGAAGCCATAAATAATCGTGACATACATTGAAAGTGTGTAGGACTAAAAGGTCAAAGACATGTGGTACATTCTCAACCTCGTAGCAAGAAAACCCATCCACAGGGGAAAACTGCAAGCAGAGGTCATACTTGAAGTACTGATGGCACAGCAGCTACACAGCGCTTTTCGGCAGACGGGTTTCACTGACAGGAAGAAACCTCTATTGAACTTTCTAAATCTTCTCACGTTACCGGCGGATTCAAAGTGCGCAGTGTTCCAGACGTAAGCAATGATTTAGTTAGTTTTCTGTTTACTCCTAACTGTCGCAGTGTTTAGGTCTACCAGGCTCCGCTTTTCTTCAGATGCTCGATTTTATCATCTGGTAATAGCGCACTGCGGATCTAAGATCCAGTGAACCACAGCCGCCTAAATCGTGTGGAAATCTCATTAAACGGGAATGGCACAAACGTAGAATTACTAGTGGCCTGGTTACCAGTTACCTTCCAGTTACCTAGAGCACAAAATCCGCGTCAAGGTGAAGGTATTCGATGGATCACTGAACCACAGATAATCAATTGTGACAGCTTCTTAATGTCAACTAACTTAAAAGACGACGCTTCGAGCCCCATTTACAACAAGGGAGACTCACCACGTTCAAAGCCCAACCGTGAAGTATAGTGCCGAAGTGTCCACTGTTCCACATTCAGTAATAGCGTGTGTTGCTCCAAGGGTTGTTTCGTGGGGGATCCGACCTTGTTTGGAGAACATGTGGACTTTTTCGGCGATGCAGCTTCTATCCACAAATAATGAGGACGATTTGCGCCGATGTCCTTCGAAGAAGCATTCACCGGAGCAGACACGTTGACCTGGAAGTAAAACGGGCGACATAAACTTGCTGGGTAAATCCTGAGATGCCTCGCTCTGATAGTTTTTCCAGGAAGTATATGGGGGCGAATCCATAGGATAAGATGTGCTCAACCGAGACACACTTGAAAATGGTGTTTGAGAAGTGCTTAAAAAAGCGCGTTTGATACAAGGGACCCTCACAACTTAAATATAATACTGTTGTGGATATAAAATATAATTTTAAAAAACTAGGCCCAGAGGCTAATGAGCGACAGCGGTCTGCACACAGTAATTGCTGCTTTTTTGAAGCCACAGTACTGGTAGAGACTCAATACTCAGAGCATAGTAGAAAAATAAACAGGCCGCCGAGAAACGCAGATGAATATCAAGCGTTACTGAAGGACTCGGCAATTGCGGAGCACGCACTGGACACGGGACACAAAATAGATTTAGAAAATATTGAGGTTTTGAGGCGAGGGCCGCGGTCCACGTCAGAGACTGATAGCCGAGGCAGTAGAAATCACCAAGTATTCCAGTGTCAACAGAATAGAAGGCGTGGAACTGGCAAGCGTGTGAAGAACGGTTTTGGATCAGTCAAGCTGACACGTGTTGGTGTGCAGTCATCAGGAGGAGTAGCCATCATCTGAATTCCACTTGACCTCATCCCCCCTCAAACTGAATTGTCGGAGCACTCACAACCCCACAAAGACCAAGGAAAATCTACTAGTGGCACCGGAGGTGGATCATCAATTGAAGATTAGAGAACCAAACCCGATCAGAATTAATTCGAAACTCCCCCGATCCACCAAAGCAAGATTTTGACAACTACACTAACCAACGAGAGCCGTTAATCGACACTCAACACTGATCTAGTGTGATAATTTGAAGAGGACTAACTGATTGGTTCCCCGTCTGTCTCATAACCTGGCTAGTTTGCTGACCTGCTCACTTGGCCTGATGAAGCTTTTGTGTCAAAAGCGAAACGTTGCTCAAATAAAAACTACCGATTGTTTACCAGGCTCTTCTGAAACGATGGATAGTAATTCTGTTTTTTGTTAACTGGTGTTTGCTTGACTTCTCTAATAGAAAGGCTGAAAGTGACAAAGAACACACAAAACAGACGATAATGAGTTTTTGCAGTTTTTTTTACCACATTGTGTAACCTGCCTCGACACCTGCGTTCCTCGTACTTCCTCGTAAGGGCTGCAATTTGACTTGCGTTTCATACTCTATCGTTCAGAGTTCACACCACTCTGACACTACAAGACGGTACTACCATGATTGAGGGCCATCATCTGCAAGAAACAGGGCCAAATGGCCAGGTATGATAGTTGATTATTGCTGACGCTAGTAGTGTTAAAGCTGCAATCATTCGAAATTCAAATGATGATGACACTTTACACTGGAAATTGCAAAGGCCGAAATACCTGAATTTAATTCAGTCATAGTCCAGGGCTTAAGAGTTGACGACTATCCCTGGTCGAAGTATGAAACAGTGAACTAAGCGGTTTCAAGTTTCAGTGACAAGCTTAAGCAAACTCCTCACTTTGACACTAAAGTCACACTTATGTCTGGTCAAGCCCTAATGGAGCATATATGGCCCCATTAGTTTTTGTTGAACATTTTACCGGCAAATGTCACACATCCGTCCAAAGCGGAAAACTCAGTATAAGCACATGGAAATCTCATAAATATCCAACTGCTAAAGGGTGCGTTTTACAAATGACGGACAAGAACAAAAATAATAAAAAATCATTCAACTATAGCGCCCATTCGGTGCCCAATTGTCAACCCACCCGAAGGAAGCATGAGGGCTGGGATACTGCTAGGTTGCTCAAGTCTAAACAGATGAAGTCGAGAGGCAGAGATCGGATTCGAACCAGAGACCTACCGGTCAGTGAATTCGCGCTGTAACCACTGAGTCATCTCAAACAACGCTGTTGTTCGAAGCTCCTCGACCGTCTTCGGAAGACTCTCACACCATGCGAATAGGTATTTTACGTGGTGCTTGCCAAAACCTATCTTTAATTAGACAAAGGCCGGTGCTTTACTAAAGAGTCGGTCGGGTGGACCAATCCAGCAGAATTATCACACGAATAGTATATTGCTTTTATGTCACAAGCCCCGACAGGACACGTTAGAGGTATGAAATCTCCGATGAACTGAGTCGGATGGAGAATCAGCTATGAGTTCTATAATTTAGAGCCACGATATGTGTGAACTTGCAAGACTGCAACTGGTCACCTGACCCATTGGTGGAGTTTAATGCACTTCATCCGGCAGACGTAGTCCCACTATATATTGTTTCCAGCAATCAGTTGGACCACAGTGAGACCAAAAGCCAAATCGTTCAAATGGAGGTTTGTCTACAAATGCGGTACTATAAATACAATAGTAAAAGTATATAAATTATTCAAAATCCAACAAACATGTAAGATTTCCGCTAGCCATTTGGCTGAACTGGGATGTCCCTCATAGATAGTTGTATGGATTGATAAAGTTTAAATTACAATCAAAGTGAGATTACCCCCACAAAGAAGTATAAATTGAAAGAATTGAAAACGGTAATCCATGCACTTTCCTGAAAGTCAAAAATCGGTAGGATACTTTCATTCAGAATGATAAACGCCTGTTTATGACGAACATGTTTGGATTTTCCAAGCCTGACTGCTCAATGGGGAATAAGCAAGCAGCCGTGCGCATCCTTGACGACCATGAGGTGGAATGAATTTTGAAGAGAAAAAGATAAACTTAAGGTGAAGACAGTAGGCTCGAATGATAACCAGACGCACTCACTTCCGGTGCCATATGTAGATCTGTCACCAGCTGAGGGACCGACCAACGTTGACAACTCGTGGTACGTTCTGACAGTTCAACACCTGATTCAAGTGATTCATTGCCCTTCTTCAAGCGTCGTCGTTTAGGTTGGCTCACCGTGTCCAGTTGACCACTTTCTGAGGAACTGACACACACAGCCAATTTGTTCATTTGTTCCTGTACAGTCAAACGTAGTCCACCACGTAGACAGGTGCAGGCCCGGGAGGCATCCATCCGGTTGTTCTCAAGTTTCATAAAACCTAAGATAACCTTCAGGGTCGCAAGAGGTTGTTTTATATGAGTTCCTTGATCAACCAATAATCGGGTGATCAGACGACCTGCGCGGCACGGACCAATGGAATCAAGGGGGCATCTATCAGGTGACTTATTTGGGAGGCTAAGTAACCAATGAATCAGTTCAACGGCATCCGTGTAGCGACGTTGCCGTTCGAATAAATCCACGACCATGAATAGAATTCGGAGGGCTCGGTAGGGGGCAGTAAAGCGCCGAAGGAATTCGGGAATATCTTCCCGTGCGTGTACGGGGCTAACAGGAAGGTGAAAGAGAGAGTGGGTGATTTGGCTATTATATCCAGCTTACGCTTCAGAGATGTCCATACTTAACAAAAACATTAACGCACTTGACGAGTAGGTCGCGGAGCTTTGGTTTCATGCTGTCGTAAATATCCATGGCTGAAGAGTACTCCTTACTGGTGATCAAGGCTTCCAACCGCAGTTCCGTATCCAAAAGGTCTAAATGACTGGGTATGCGTGAGAGCGGAAAAAACATGATACTTACAGGTGTAATTCTTTTGGAGTTCGATATATCCCGGTTGTTCGTTTGATTTCGTAGGCCGGATAAATTATGTCTTTGCGACGAACAAGCAGCATATTGTACCTGGCACGAATTGAAACGTGGAACGATTGACATCAACTATCGGAGGATGGTTTTGGGAAAACTTATGTGAAATAATGGTTTACGCATATTCCGAAAGTGTTCCGCGTAGAAGAGAAGTCAACCCACCATATCAAAGGTCTAGTGAGATTAGGTCTACATCGGTCATCCAGTCGACTCTCCTCGCCACGTGGTAAGAAAGTACACTGCTGGAGTCGTTAACACTAGAAGGGCTGCGTGCTTCTCAATGTGGTGCCACCAGCAGATAAACGCGGAAGTCGGGGAAATAAAATGATCACAAAGTATAAGTTACGGGAATTGTATGATGCTGATGCAATGGAATACAACAAACAACCCTGTAAGAGAACTGGGCTGCACATATTTGACCAGTGTTCGCGAACAGGACGACACTGATCAGAAAAGCAGCTGCAGGTTTTACAAGCCACCGAAGTTAAATGAGTACTTATGTAGCTCGGCGTGTACCATTACTATTGGCCGTGAGAATAACATAAAGGTGTGACGACCTGTTGAATAGAGCGGAACACCAAAATCACCGACGATTTAGCAGCAGATGGAAATTTAGGTCTGTACAGATGGAATCCAAATTCAAAGGGGGGGGGGGGGGTCAAAGTAGTCGGGTACTGAGGTGATCAAATAAAACGCCCACAGTAAAACCATGGCTGCCGGACAATGTATAAGACAAGGATGACGAGAATGTGTCAACGTAAGCTGCATTCGTGTCTCAAGTAAGATGAGTATTCCCTGAATCAGAAGATAGCCAATAAACCATTAGGAATAGAAACAGTGAATAATGTGCATTTGATGAAAGTGCTGTCCTTTTTCACAAGAGTTTTACAGGTCCACAAGCTGACAACCGATTTGCTTCAGACTGAAATTCTACTGCATTAAGAACCGGTGACCTGCATTCAGGATATAGGCCTCTGTTTTCGAATGGTAATTAAGCGGCTATATGTCCTCCACACAACCCCATACATTTCAACCTCCCTACAGATATTCACTAATCACCGTCACAAGTTGACGTTTCTTCCACTGCTTGAATCAGCCTGTGTACTTGCTGGTGATATTGGTGATTTAAGCTGCCTGATTGGTTTCCTGTTCGCTGCTCTTCGCAACTTAGTTAAGAATGTTTTGTCACCAGTCGAGGTAACACCTGTGAGCAGTGGGTGGGCATTTCGTCGTTGCTTAGCGGTGCGTCAATTCTAGAGGTGACGAAACTTTGCAACCAAATTATCAAACTCAGTGAATAGAACACCAGCCATATATGGAGGCCTGGAATCCGTTCCCGGATTAGCCTCACACACGGGACGAGGCCAACTGGTGGCTTATAATTGTCTACTCAAGTAAGCAAAACTGAAAAGTTAAGCCCCAGAGTGCATCCAGGGATATCTGATGGCCCACATAACTCATAGGACCTATCCTAGGCACACACGTATGGCTAACTGGTGATAGCTGTCGTTCACTTAAGTCTGTGTAACAATGGTCAAGCAGAATCCGACTCTAGACTTACCCTTCTGGAATGTCTGAATTGTTAGGACGGGTGTTTTGCATATCGATACGTGAAATACATATAAATAAAACAATAGGACATTTGACTCAAAACAATACAGTACAATATAAAAAATGATAACGCAGACTTGCAACAACATGGAAAACAGTGCTCAGCCTGGCAACCAAGCCAGAGGCTCTTCATGGAAAGTCACTAATGACGCCCTTAGGTTATGGCTGTGGACACAACTAAACCATTGGTACCCCCAATGTATGCAATGTATGCATCACACATGAGAGGCATCCTAGGTACAAGCAAATGGTAGTCCCTGCCAGGCATCATTTAACTTGGCATTGCAGCGCCAAAAACCAATTCTACTGGTGAACGGTGTAGGGATGCACGAAACATCGTGCGCAAATATGGGAGTAACAAGGGTAATTGGTCGTACCAGTTGGGTGAATTACTCTCTGCCCGAAATGCGATCCTTAAATGTCTGTGAAAACGTTCGACCATTTGCCTGAGGATGATATGTGGCAATAAGAATGCGGGTACATCTCAGGAGCTCGATCAAGATCTGAAGTAACTGGAATTCATATTGAGAGTCACGGTCCGTGTTTATGAAAGAAGGGACCCCAAAACTGGAAATCCAGCCGTTGATGAATGCCTGAAAGATGGTCTCCATAGAAGTGTCATGTATAGGAATGGCTCCAGGCCACCGTGTAAAACGATCGACACACGTGAGGAGATAAGAGTGACCATTGGATCTCGGTAGAGGATCGATAGGGCCGAGGTGAACATGGTCGAATCGGCAGTCTGGGGAAGCAAATGTGCCGATAGGTGAATGGGCTTGGGGAATGATTTTTGAACGTTAGTGTACAAGACAAGTTTTTGCCCATGGACCATGTCCTTATTCATGGTCGGCCATATGAAATGGTGTAAGTTTGACGGTGGAATGCACGTCAGGGTGTGAAACGTTGTGTAGAGCGTCGGAAACTTGGCGGCGCATTTCGCTTGGAACGAAAGGTTATGGAAGCTTTCTGGAAGAGAACACAAGTGGTCAAAGTTCACCAAGAACTACGGCTATAGTGGATGCATCAACGGGAATTGACAACTGGGCGTCCGGCTGCAGGTGAAATAACTTCAAGGAACCAATCAGCGGAGATTTAACCTGTTCAAAAGCTTGCATGTGAAAGTCATCAAGGTGATATACTTTCGAAGGATTGCCAGCTAGCAGGTTAGTAAGGAATGCTAGATAGCGGGCGGTTTTAGGGATGAAACGACGATAAAAATTAATCATCTCTGAGAACGTTTGACTTGTGTTACAGATGTGGGCAAAGGAAAGGTGCGGATGGCGTAAAGTGTTTTATCTATGATAGGTCTCAGAAAGTTCAATGGGGGCGGACCAAAGGTACACTTCTGAACACTAAAGACGATGCCGTATTCATTTAAACGGGTAAACAAAGTGTGCAAATGTTCTAAATGATGCTCGGGTGTGGAACCAGCAACCAAGATATCATCGAGATGAGCGAAGACAAAAGGTAGAACCGCGAAGTACTTGGTCCACAAAGTGTTGAAAAGTTTGTACTGCATTAAGAAGACCAAATGACACGCGTAAAAATTAGATAACCATGGTCGCCGCAGATGAGCGGACTCGGCGGTATCAAAAACGGAGTTACATGGGCAAGGCTTAAACGTGCATCACATTCCCAGCAGGGAGCGGCTGATCACTTTTGAAAGCACCTAACAGGTAAAACGGAGAGTGGCCTCACCGAGTTTTTATTTATGAAAATATCCTGCAACCAACTGTCAACAGTCAACTTTTGAAAACCACAAGATTCGAGAGTTGGAATTAACATCTGCGATCCGCTCCGGTGAGCAAGATGGTTTACAGGCCATGAGTCGCACGCACGTGTAAGGGCAAAAGCCTTACAGCGCTGCAGTAGAATGCGACCAAATCGACGACCTCTTATTTTGGTGGTAGACTTGATGACCGTTCAATAATAGTCCAAAAGTAAGCCGTTTGGTATGCCATAAAAAGACACCCCAATGGGAATCGCAGTCAAGTTTGGAACGTGCATGAAATTCCGTGGATCATATGAGAAGCTGAGCAATTAACTTAACATAAAGCCGAAGCAATGAGATTTCTATAGAGCCATCGTGACACTTTATGAAGGTATCAGAAATTTTTAGCATGAAAAAAGTAGGGTGCCAAGTACTTCCGGAGCGCAGATCGTTACCCTGACTCTAAACAAATGGAAAGGTTTGAAACAACTTTCTACCGACTCCGGTGAGTAACAGAAGAGAACTTACAACTCCGCCAAGCAACTTACAACTCTCACCAAGCATCCCAGTGTTAACAGAATAGAAAGTGTGGAACTGGCAAGCGTGTGGAGAACGGTTCTGGATCAGTCGAGCTGACACGTGTTGGCTTGCCGTCATCAGAAAGAACAGTGGTCATCATCTGGATTCCACTTGACTTCAAGCCCTCGAAGTAAATTGTCGGAGCACTCAAGGCCCCACAAAAAAACAGGGAAAATCTACCAGTGACAACCGAGGTGAATCATCAACTGAAGCACCCTGAATTGGAAGATTAACGAACCAAATCCGATAAGAATTAATTTAACCCCCCTCCCCAATCCACCAAAGAAAAATTTTGACAACTCCACTAACCGACAAGAGCCGTAATTGACACTGAACACCGATCTAGTGTGATAATCTGAAGAGGACTGACTTACTGATTGGTTCCCCGTCTGCCTTATAACCTGGCCAGTTTGGTGACCTGCTCACTTGGCCTGATGAAGCTTTTGTGTCAAAAGCGAAACGTTGCCCAAATAAAAACTACCGATTGCTTACCAAGCTCTTCTGAAACTTACAACTCCGTTTTTAGGTGAGCTTCGATGGACTTGGCTCGTGTAGGTCCAGGCATGGCGGTATCGGATCCAAGAGAGGAGAGCCAAATGATGCCAGCTAGCAATCGCATGCGCGCGCGTTCGGGTCGCCAACATGCGCCCAAAACCCGACTTATTCTAAATCGGAGAAGAGTGGGTCGTGACTAGAGGAAGTCGAAACACTTAAGGAAAGAAATGAGCATGACTTTCAGTATATTGATGACTTCAGCAACTGTTAGGACCTCTAATCACTTCAGAACACCGGCATCCGAGTATAAACACTTACGGTCAACGGGAAAGTTAAGAGGACCGCAAACGGTGGACACAGTGAGGCGATTGGTATTTTGGAGTTGTTGGTAGTCTGGCGGATACGTATAACATGGCCCTACAGAAAGAAGGCGGGTTTCATTGCCGTAAGGTTGTAAAAGTCCATGTACGCCGTTTGAAGTAGTGGTATCTGACTCGCGAACCAGGATATTGTCACATGTGCTTATGATTGTGAACCTGGGGAAAATGTTTAGAGCCCAAGACGGCGACCTTACTTTCAAGGATTCTACGCCGTTTACAAATTTGTTCGTTAGACGGCCACCTTAGCTGAGTATCAATGCACGTGAAATATTCACCTTGTTTTCAATAACCAGGAAATCATATTCAAATAAGATGTTAAATGCATTGTGTGTTGGACTGGATCTCAGTCTGCGTCGTTCGCAATACAGGACATCCAAAGAACGCACCCATTCCATCACAGAAGCCCAACGTCGTAAGGTAAAATAGGCTGTTTAGTCTATAACACTGCCACTGACCCACTGGATAGCATGGAACAGTTCCAGTCGACTCGGTCAGTAGGCACGTTATTTGTAAGCGACTAACCGCGCAACTAATTTTCAGTTACACAAAACAATAAATTGTTCTCCAGAGTGCTAAATTTGTTCGTTAGACGGCCACCTTAGCTGAGTATCAATGCACGTGAAATATTCACCTTGTTTTCAATAACCAGGAAATCATATTCAAATAAGATGTTAAATGCATTGTGTGTTGGACTGGATCTCAGTCTGCGTCGTTCGCAATACAGGACATCCAAAGAACGCACCCATTCCATCACAGAAGCCCAACGTCGTAAGGTAAAATAGGCTGTTTAGTCTATAACACTGCCACTGACCCACTGGATAGCATGGAACAGTTCCAGTCGACTCGGTCAGTAGGCACGTTATTTGTAAGCGACTAACCGCGCAACTAATTTTCAGTTACACAAACCTTGGGAGGGCGTGATACCAACAAGGTTAAGGACAAATAGTTCAGTCATAAGCAGAAAATAAGGGCCTCCATTCAGAGTGAGCAGTGGTTCACGTGTCCACAGCTTGCTGAAAAGCACCATCAGGCTGTTTCGGAAACCAAGAAAACAGAATCGCTTCACCTTCAGTTCAGTTAACAAGATAGGAGGAGGACCGACTGTGTAAGAGCTATCTCGTGTAGAAATCCACCAAACCGATGAACATGCAAAACCGCAATTTGCACTCGTTCTTGGACAGACGATCAGCGTGCTCTTAGCTGCTAAATTCGTTTCTACGTTACCGTATCTAAGCTCGTCTGCGATGACGGAGAAACTCGCATTGGCCGTCCAGATCTACTTCTAGCAAACGGCACGGTCCATTAGTGAAAGTGGTGGTTATAGTGAAATGGAACCCGATCTGTCATTTGGTTCAGCCTGACACGATAATACACGGTTTTCAGTCACTTGTATCGCCCACCATGACTCAGATGACAGGGTTTTCCCATTGGTATTGCCGTTTTTATGTCTAAGTCTGATCTGACTATATTACCAACATGATTCCGCAGATATAATAATGCAGTCATTGATCGTTCAGTCATCAGATTACGTGCTGCGAGTGAGAAGTAATTGAAACTAGTTTTCGTCTTGTATTAATGCCAAATGGCGAAAGCTACTCAGCGGTTGAACGATAGGGGAGTTGTCACCATTCATTTACCTTAGGAAGGGCTATTTGCATCTGAATTGACCTAATTCGTAGATGACCAAACAGAGTACGAACACACTGGACTGTGAGACATCCATGATAAAAAATAAGTTAATAGGAAATCTAAAGATCAAGAAATGTTTGGGTTCAGGTCATAAAAGAATGGGTGATATGGATGAAGGGCCGGGATACATTCACTCACACTACGGATTCAAACCGCCTGGTTCGTCTGTTCCTAAAGCTCGTGCAGCCATACTGTGTGGGCTACTGAATAACCTCTGAATCGGATGAACTGGTGGCATCTACGACCAAGTCGGGCCATCGGAGGAGCGTAGGCTTAATGACCACACGTATTGGAACTTATGGTAGTTACGGTTGACAATGGAGGGATGATACCCAACACTGTGTGCTCCGACAGAGAAAGTAGCAGCTCCCAACAAAAGATAAATACTAGCAGGTAAGTAAAACGAACAGAGACACATGAGAGGTGGTAGTCACAATGTGCCTTATGTTGTTGGTTCCAATATCCAATTTCATCTGAGTATCTCTAACATACTGAGGCAGCGGATGACAACTAACATCTCAGCCAAAATAAATAATACCACCCAACCTACAACGACCCTATGCAGTTCTTCAAACAAATAGATATCGCCATATGCGACAGATGGCATTATCGCTCCCCTCGAGCAACAAAGGCCTCGGTTTGCAAGATTCGTGATTTGAGCAGCAAAGTTTACTTCGTCCACCACCTCTTACCAACTCCCACCCATCTATCCTAAACTCCAAAAAACTAAATTCCTGGAAATGTGGACTGCACTCACCTCCGTTTCCTACGTAACCCCTGCAGTAACAATGGATTAAGTCCCTTTCTAACTCCCTGTCTCCTAGTCGGTCACTGTGGTTCCTTAGCAGACTTGTAAAAGAAAAATTATATTTCGACATATATACTCACATGCATATCGATTTGTTTTTGACAGGAGACTCATCTGGAACCCGATTGAATCTCTCATTTATCATGTTCAGGAGTTTTCAGCAACCTTCTGAGTAGCGCACCACGTCTATACAAAATCATATTTGTTACGCCCATGAGTGGAAATGAACTCCAATCACAAATCTAGTCTAGATTGAAGCCCCACCGTTGAGCCGTGCATTGTCAGAGACATCAACGTACAGTGTTTGTTTACACGACGCATACCGACTCAA